AAAACTTCTGAAATCTGTGGGATTTACTTCCATTTCTTTAAGGGGAGAGTTTGGATCATTATGTTACTGTGGGGATGTAATAAGATTTTAACATCCCTTAGATATATACAGGACCTGTCAGGTTCCATCTAAGTCCAAGACAGTCTCCTTTAACTTCAGTGGAAGAAAGCTGGGGCCTTTAACCTTTGAAGAAGAGAGAAAATGAGGCAAAAGGTGGATCTTCTAGGTCAACCTAGATCTAGGTGGCCAGCCTGGATCATGAGTGCTACAAGTGGCACAGGCAATTTAGTGTAGCACATGACAAATTGGACAGGCAGGCAGCACAGCAGCATATAGGGCAGAAAGCAGAGGAGGAGCCTGGACAGGGAGCATAGAATAGGGAGCAGAATAGCAGATTGAGCAGAGAAAGGAGATCAGAGTGGCACTTTGGGAGGGGTGAAAAGGACCTCACGAGGTCATTGGGTCCAGCCCCCCTGCTCTGAGCAGGAAAGATTGCTGAGGTCAAATAACCCCAGCAAGGTGTGCGTCCAGTCTCCTTTTGAAGATCTCCAGGGTAGGTGCCTGCACCACCCCTGCTGAGAGTCTGGTCTGTTCCAGAGTCTGGTCACACGAAGCATGAAGACGTTTTTCTTTATGTCCAGTCTGAAACCTAGGAGTTTATGGCCGTTGCTCCTGGCTTTCTCTTGGGGCACTTTGGTAAGTAGTTGTTTGCCTAACCCCTGATGTTCTCCGCTGATATACTTGTAAGCTACCACCAAATCCCCCCCTAAGTCTTCTCTTTTCTAGGTTGAACAGAGCCATATCTCTTATCTTTTCGTCATATGGCTTGCTCTTCAGGCCTCTAATCATTCAGGTGGCTCTTCTCTGGACTCTCTCAAGCTTCTCCACATCTTTTTTGAAGCGTAGTGCCCAGAACTGGATGCAGTACTCCAGCTGCAGCTTCACCAATGCCGAGTAGAGTTCGAGAATAACTTCCTTAGTTTTGCTTAAGATGCATTGGTTGATGCATGCCAGCGTATTGTTTGCTTTGCTAACTGTAGTATCACACTGGTGCTCATGTTCATTTTATGGTCAGTTATGTCCCCCAGGCCCCTTTCAGATGTGGTGTTAGCTAGCCTAGTACCACCAAACCTGTAAGTTTTGTTGCGGATTTTCCCACCCCAGATGAAGCACTTTACACTTCTCGGTGGTGAACAGCATCTGGTTCTGGTCCGCCCATCTAACTAATCTGTCTAGATCCGCCTGGATCGTCAGCCTACCCTGATGCATGGCTGCACTTCCCCACAGCTTAGTGTCATCGGTAAACTTTGCCAGTAGCACATCTGCCAGAAGGGTTGGCCCCCGCTGTCCTAGGCTCTTATCCTGTAGAGCAGTATTAATGCAGACTTGTCAACATAAGGAAAGCCTTACTGAAATATAAGAAGTTATTTGCCGTAGCAAACAGACTGGAGTAAGTAGGGAAGGCAGGACTCTAATAGCTGCTTGATAGCTAGTTTTGGTGTTCTTGTTGCTACAGGGCCTGCTTCAGTTAAGTGTTATGGGTCATCCAGTCTTCCCAGGGGTAGTGTCTTTGATATACTGAGTATCCTCATTTTCTTTGCCTGATTTCAGTGAGATTTTAGAGGAGTGTTAAACCCTAAACACAGGTAAAGCTGCTGCCCCAAAGAGTAGAAGTGAATAAATCCTACTGAAGACATCTTCAGGGAGAGTCTTACTGTATAACTGAGATTAGATATGAGCTAGCTCAAGGTGTAAACTACTGCTTCAGTAACCTGGAATAGAATTTTTAGAAAATATGTATTAAATATAATACCTTAATGTATTTTGTTTTATCATCGTAATCCAAACCAAAACTAAAGTGAATTGTTTGCCAGGCATAGAGTGCCAGGCAAAATATTTTGTTTCTGTGTTTGTTATAGAAATGTGGCATTTGTTACATATCAGCCACATTTGCCTGTGTTAACATAGCCTGCCTTTCCTTTCTCAAAAGTCAGGAGGAAAGAGTTGCTCATTCCACTCTGGGGGATTATATAATAACTTCAAAGCTGTTGTCCTTTGGTTGAGGAAAAAATGTTTCAAGCAGAGATTCTGCATAATATTAAAAACAAATATCCGGGTGATTTATTTAAGGAGCAGTTCAACTTTAGAATGGTTTAAATTGAGAGGCAGGAATGAGCAGCAACAATAAAAATTCAAAATAAATGAACAAAGGTGTTAAGGTTGGGCGCACTGAATGCAGATCACCTGTCCAGGGTAGGACAGAGACCATTGGTCTGATCCCTCCTTAGGCAAAGCTCCCTTTGGTGTCCAAGGGCCTGATTCACTTAGGCTTCTTACCTTGTGTAGTCACCCGCACCTATAGCAAAGATAAAGCATTACTGAATTTTGCAGTGTTTGGAGCAAGGCCATGCCGAATGAAGCCAAAAAAATGTTTTGTCTGACTAAGGGCTGCAGGAGGAGTTTCTGAATCTTAGTCTTAGCTCATGTGCTGGGCTTAGAAGTCTGTAAATCAGAGTTTGAAGTGCTCTGAGCCAAACTCAGATAGGGCTGCACGTGTAGATGCAATATCAAAAGAAAACCAGCAAAGATGTAAACAGCAGTTAAGCTTGTAGTATAAGTGGATTGGATCACTGATTTGGGACTCAGTAGATATTCAAGGTAAGGGTAACTCAAAGACAGAGGGGGAGAAAAGAAGTGTATTAAAACCTACATCCAATAGGATGCTGTAAAAATTCTCTTGAGGAGGAATTTGAAGGAGCAGAGAATGATAGCTTTACAGATCAGTTCAGGGACGATGGTCCTTGCATAATAGGCAGCATGATGGAAAATATGAAAGTGCATGTAGGAGAAATATGGACATTGAAGGATGCCATCTATGGCAGAGTAAAAGGAACAGTGTATGGAGGTGAAGTGTGAAGAAACAAAAGCAGCTAGATAGGTTGAGGTAGGGCACAACAGAGTTAAGAGGGGATTTGTAAGTGAGAACAAAAAATTGAACTTGATGCAGAAGACAGCAGCAAGTGTGTGCATGGATTTTAAGGACTGAAGGAAGGGTTAGCAAGCTGATGTTAGCAGCTGTGATTTGAAATGGGCATATATGTCAGCGAGTGCAGGATGCTTTAGTTATATACTAACTGAAAATTTAAATTAGGAAAGAGTAAAACAAAGGAAAAGTAAATGTGAATTTTCTTGTAACTCATTTTTCCTGTGTACTAAGGCCAAGGATGAAATCCTGGTCACTGTGAAGCCCATGCCAAAACTTCTCTTGACCTTGGGTGAGAATTTCATCCTAAGGTTTTTAAAGGCAACTTGTGATTTTTCAGTGCCCGTAAACCAAAGGCAACCTGAAGTGCCCTAAAGGGGGTCAACTTCTCTGCAAATGGGTGCTCAGCAGTTTCTGACTATAAGATCCCTGTGAGCCCCCAAAACTGAAGCACCTAAAATCACTAGTCACTTATGAGATTTCTGACCTGTACAGGTGAGCACAGTGGGCTTGGTCCTTTACCAGTAAAATCAATGGAAGTTTAGACTTGAACCCTCAGATTCCAATCCTGGATCAGTGACTGCAGTTGCTTTTCACAGGTTTGGGTCTGCAGGTGAAAAATTCAGGCAAAATGTCATGTCACACAAATGGATTTCAGCATTTATCGTATAACAGGATAAAATGGGTCCACAACTGATCTTAGCTGCAGCTGGCATTGCAGTTGATTTGCTTGAAATTCTTTTGCACTGACCAATTATTTTCCTTAAATTATTTTGCTTAGAAGAGCCCTGAACTTTAAAAAGACAAAAACAAAAATATAACCTGTGAGCATTGCAGTTATTGAAAACAAAGCCAAAATATTATGAGTAAACAAGTAGCTTAGAAAGAGATTTAAAAACTGCTTTAAGATGAACCTTTTCCATAAATAGGGGCGATGATTTTAATAAGTTCCTTATTTAGAGCCACTGTGATAGTGACTACAAAATGGTAGAGTTCAAGATTTGAAGGGGGGGAAGGAAGGAGAGCAGCAGAATAAGGACACTGGACATCAGAAAGCAAACTTCAGCAGATTCAGGGAACTGGTGGGCAGGATCCCCTGGGAGGTAAGTCAGAGGGGAAAGGTCCAGGCGAGCTGGCTGTACTTTAAGGAGACTGTATTAAGGGCACAGGAACAAGATATTCTGATGTGAGGGAAGAAGGAGAAGTGCAACAGCAGACCAGCCTGCCTAGACAGAGTCTCTTCAATGAGCTGAAGCACAAAAACAAATCTTACAGAAAGGGAAGACTTGGTCATAGTACTAGGGAAGAATATAAGAGTATTTCATGGGCATATAGGGAAAAAAAAGCCAAGGTACGATTTGAGTTGCAACGGGCAAAAGGCATAAAAGGCAATACAAATTATTCTACAAGTATGTCAAAATTATAAGAGCGAGACCAAAGAAACCAAAGGGTTACAGATATGGAATGCAGAAGGCGGTCTAGTTATGGATGTTGCAGGCTGAAGTATGTAATGCTTTCCTTACTTCAGTCTTCACAAACAGGATAAGCTACCAGATGACAAGTACATTTGGCAGCAAAGATAGGAAAGGAGACAAAGCCTAGAGTAGTGGAAGAACAGGTTAGGGATTGTGAAGAAATCCTCTGCTTTCTTTCTCTGGCCCTGAGCCTAAGATCTCTCCCCTTTATGCTCCTAGTAGAGCTCAGTGGAGTATTGCCTCACAACCTTCGGGGTGGTTCCAGGCTGTAAGGAGTACCCAAAAATACTGCCAGCGGGCAATGCACCTCCAACGTCAGCAGGGTCTGTGTACCGCAGGCGGCACAGAGGCCTAACGGAGACCAAGGCCCAGGTGGTGGCAGCGATTACCCAGGCTTGTGGGTGTGCTTCAGGAAGGGGGTTGACTGGACGTGGCCACCACAGTGGAGACACCCAAAGTGGGGTTTTGGTTGGGCACACTGATTCAGATGGTTCAGTGTTGTAGCACCCCCTATTGGCCTGCCACAGGGATTACTTAGAGAAGCTAGATGCTTTCAAGCCAGCAGGGCTGGATGGAATATATCTAGGGCAGTCTATACACTCGCTCCAGGAGTGAAGGGGAGGTGGGGGCGCTTTAATTAGGAAGGTGCCAAGAGCCATTCTCATTAAAATGCCTGGAGCATCTTGTGTATCAGTGTCCCTATGGTTAAAAATGGCAGCAGGGTTGCTTTAACTAAAGCTCAAGCTCATTCGATGGAGGTCAGATGAGGTTCCAGGTGACTGCAAAAGGGCAAATATAATGCTCATCTTTAATAAAGAGAGGAAGGAGGATCTGGGAAACTATGGACCAGTCAGCCTGATCTTGATTGGAAATATAATGGAGCAGGTATTCAATGAACCTTGTGAAACACCAAGAGGAGAACAAGGTGATCAGGAACAGCCAGCATGAATTTAGCAAGAGCCTGACCAACTTGATTTCATTCTGTGATAAGGTAACATGCTTTGTGGATAGGGGGAGAGCAGTGGATATGATACCTAGACTTCAGCAGTCCTTTGACACTGTCTGTCACAACAGTCTCATCAACAAGCTCAGGAAATGCAGGCTACGAATAGATCTATAACTTCTGAATTTGTCTAGTTTCTTTTTTAATTTTTCTGTGCTATCTGCTTCTAGTACCTCCTGCGCTAATATATTGTACAAGTAAACTACATGTTGTGTAAAAAAAGTATTTATCTTGTTAGTATTAAATCTGTCTCCTACTAATTTCAGTGGCTGACCCCTAGTTCTAGTATTTTGGGACTCGCTGAACATTAAACAGTTCCCTGTTCACTTCATCCATAGACTTGTATTATATCTTCCCTCAGCTTTCTTCTTTCCAAACTGAAGAGTCCTTGCCTTTTTAGTCTCTCCTTGTATAGCAACTGCTCCATACCCCTGATCATTTTGGTTGCCCTTCTCTGTACCTTTTCCAATTCTGTGTATTTTTTGAGATGGGGGACCATAACTTCACACAGTATTCAAGATGTGGGTGTACCATGGGTTTGTATAATTGCATGATGATGTTCTGTGTCCTGTTTTCTATTCCCAGCTTAACGATGCCCAGCATTCTTTTGGCTTTTTTGGTTGCTGCTGCACGTTGAACCGACATTTTTAGAGAACTATCTACAGTGACTAAGGTCCCTTTCCTCAGTTGTAATAGCTAATTCAGAACCGAGCATTGTGCATGCACAGTTGAGGCTATTTTCCCCATGTGCATTACCTTGCACTTGTCAGCACTGAAGTTCGTCTGCCATTTTTTTTTCTCATTCAGCTTGGTGAGATTTTTTCTGTAGCTCCTCTCAGCTTGGGACTTGACTGCTTGGAATAATTTGGTATCATCTGCAAAGTCTAAGATTTCACTGAGCACTCTTCTTTCCAGGTCTGCAAAGTCTGAGATTTTACTGAGCACTCCCATTTCCAGGTCATTGATAAAAATGTTAAACAGAATTGGGCCCAGCACAAATTCCAGTGGGACCCCACTTTTGACTTGCCTCTATCCTGAAAAGTGACCATTTAGCCCTATCCTTTGTTTCCTATCTTGTAACCAGCTCTCAATCCACGAATGAATGTTTCCTCCAATCCTGTGGCAACACAGTTTTTCTAACAGCCTTTGGTGAGGGACCAGGTTGAAAGCTTTTTGGAAGTCCAAATACAGTATGTCAGCTGAATCCCCTTTGTCCACATGCTTGTTAACATGCTCAAACAACTTCAGCAGTTTGGTGAAGCAGGATTTCCCTTTAAAAAATAACACCGACTCTTCCCCAGCAGATCATTTTTGTCCTTGTGTCTGTCGATGTTATTTTTTTTTATAAATTGCACCAACTTGCCAGGGATGGAAATGAGACTCACTGGGTGCGTCTAGACAAGACGCTACTGCGCAGTAGCATTGGGAATAAACTGCGGCAATTTTACTGTGCAGTAATGCCAGTTACTTACACATAAGGAAGTACTAAATGACTGTGCAGTAACAACTGCACAGTCCGCCGGATGTATAGGCCAGCCACTGGTCTGTAGTTCCCAGGGTCACCTCTGGAGCCCGTTTTGAAGATTGGTGTTATGCTGGCAACCCATCAGTTGTCTGGCACAGAGTCTGTTTGTAATGATAGCTTACATATTGTTGCCAGCAGTTTTGCAATTTCACCTCTGTGTTTCTTCAGATCTTTTGGATGAATGACACCGGGTCCCGGTGACTTACTAGTGTTTATGGGTTTGTTCTGAAACTTTGTTTGTTGTCACTTCAGTGTGGTCCAACTCTTCAGACTCATCTTCTAGACAGGATTGAACTGGCATGGGAATTTCCCCAGTATCTTCTGCAGTAAATGCCATTGCAGAGATTTTGTTTATAATTGAGTTCACCTTTTACACCTTGCTCATTTAATGTTCCCAAAGATTGTCAGCTGACTTCCTGCTTCTGGTGTATTTAAAAAAAGTTTTTATTATTAATTTTAGCATCTTTTTTTAGACTTGGCTCCAGTTCTTTTTTGCCTGTCTTATTTTGCTTTTACACTTGACCTGCCAGAGTTTGTGAACTTTCCTAATTTCCCTCATCTGGGCATTTTTTGAAGGATGCCCTTTTGCCTTGAATGGCCTTCTTAACTCTGCTATTAAACCATGTAGGGGTTTTATTGCCTTTTTGATTTGTAGTATACATTTTTCCCGAGCCTGTAATATAGTACTTTTAAACAGCTTCCAAACTGCCTGCAGGCTTCTTTTTTGACTTTCTAACTCATTTCCTCATTTTTGTGTAATTTCCCTTCCCAAAGTATCTGTTGTCATGGTGGACGTTTCTGGCTTCCTCCTTCCTCCTTGAATGTTGAATGTGCTTGTGTTATGGTCACTATTACAGAATAGCTTCCCAACTCATCTCTTCAACCAGGTCCTATGTGTTACTCAGTATTAGGTTTAGAGTTGCTTCTGCTTTTGTGAGCTCCAAGGTGAGTTGTTTTATGAAAGCAGTCATTTATCACATCCAGAAATTCCATCCCTCTTCCTGATGAGGTGTTTACCCAGTCTACGTGAGAATAGTTGAAATCTCCCCTTATTATTACTTGGCCTATTTTAGCAGCTTCTCTAATATCCCTGAGCATATCATAATCCGCTTCACCTTCCTGATCAAGTGGTCAGTAGAATAACCCTACTTCTATATTATTTTTATTCAAGTATGGAATTTCTACCCACAGAGACTCTATGGCAGTTTACATAAGATTTTTATGCTGTTCTTTTCTATACTTTCCTTAACAACGAGTGCCATTCCTCTACCTGCATGTCCTACTCTGTTATTCCTATATAGGTTGTAACCTGTTAGAACAGTGTCCCATTGATTATCATCCTTTCACCAAGTCTCTAAGATGCCTACTATGTCAAAGTCACCATTTAATACCAGACATTCAAGTTCACCCATGTTATTTTTTAAGCTTTTGGCATTTATATAGCTGCACTTATAAATTTTGTCCTTGCTTACCTGCCTGTTACTGCTTGTGCTATTTGATTGGAATTCTAGATGATCTCACTTATCCTTACTATTGTATCCAGTTATTCTGTATCTTTAATAATACATAGCTGGTTGGATCATTGTGCTGAACAAGTAGTTATCTGTGGCTCAGTGCCTTGGGAGGACGTCTCAAGTGGGTTCTCCAGGAGTCTCTACTGGGTCTGGTATTGTTTAATATCTTCATTAATGATTTAGATAGGGGGGTTGACCCAGAAAAGCAAGTCGCACTCCCAGAAGTGCCAGCAGCATACCTAGAAGTGCCAGCAGTGCTTCTCCTGGTGCCCCCACTCCCCAGCCAGCACTCACAGGGGGGGCACCAGCGCTCCTGCCTGCCCCTGCTGCCTGTCGCCTAAAAGCGGGGAGTGCTAGCTGTCAGGGGGTGCGCCAGCCCTCTGAGGGGGTGCACGTGCACCCCCGTACATCCCTACGCGTCACCACTGAAGAAAGGTGTTAAGCTTCAGCAGAGGAAATTTAGGTTGGAGATAAGGAGGAACTGTCTGAGTACAAGGGTGATTAAGCATTGGAACAGGCTACTAGAAAAGTGTAAAACCTCAATCCCATGAATTTTTCAAGGACAGAGTAGACAGACACTTGGCTGGGATGGTTTAGCTAGGGATGATCCTGCCATGAGCAGGGGGCTGGACCTTAGGGCTGCTTGCAGACATGAAAAAACACCCCCACGCACTTTAGTTTAAACTCAGTGTGTTCCCGCACTCAGCCCAGCGCATGCCCAGAAGAGGCAGCACATTATTTCAACCTGGCTTTGCAGTGTCTGTATAGATCAGGCACTTTAATGGGGCTTTTTTGGCACTTCTATCTAATAGTTGATTAAATCAGCTATTAGATGAAAGCACCAAAAAGCCCTACTGAAGCACCCGATATATGCAGACACTGCAGAGAGGTTGAACTTACGTGCGGCTTCTTATTGTAAAGTGCATTTTTTTTTCCCCACATCTGGAAGCAGCCTGATGACCTTGTGAGAGTCCTTCCAGCCCTACTTTCCCAGGATCCTGTACCACAAGGGGGTACAAAAAGAGGGACTAAGAGTGAATTGTAAATTTGAGATGTCTGTCTGTATACATAGAGTTTAATGCAGTGAAGAAAAGATTTCCTCCAGAACTGAGAATAGTGGTGGAAATTGCTTAGAACAAAATATTCCAAGATGATGTGTTGACTTGCCTGTGAGCAATAAACAAGTCAAAGCAACTTGAGGCATGATTTGTCTTGCTAACAAAGATCACTGTTTTAAATGGTCCAAAAAAACCAGTATAACTTTTCCTAATACAATTTAAAATCTGTTTTTATATCTAGTTCCTGGGCTGACCGGGGTCCTTTTGGTGCTAGTTTTATTCCTAATGTTTACAGCTTCTACATATGCTATCAGGTAAGACTGATTTTAAATATTATGCTGAACAATACCATCTAAGCAATTGCTTTCTCGCACTGATTGAATGGAATGCTGAGCAACTGTAGAGATTTGTAATAAGTATTCAAATAAGAGGTTAAAAAGTATCAAATTCCTTGTTTCCTATGGTGGTGAATTCTAAGTGCATTCAGTAATTCAGAATTGGTGCATTTAGTAAAATCTGGGTAGTTTGTCACACCAAGGTGATTGGTAATGATAACTAGCTCTCCATTAGTGATTAATTATGAGTAGTTTCCAACTTTTTGTGAGCTGTGTTTTTCGTGGCACATTGCAAGATAGTAAAGAATGATTTTTGCCATATAATGAAGAAAAAGTATGTTTAAAAAGTGCCAGTTGTGCTCATTTGGGCGTGTTATATGAGAATGATGGTTATACAGATAAATGCTTGATGTAGTTTTTTAATTACAAAAATTCAGAGTGCTTGCTATGTAAGAATGACAGGATTATGATGGAGTAAAATAATCAAAGAGTTTTGTTCTGCATTGTTAGATGAACTCTTTACCAAAGTAGAAGGTAATTCTACAACAGGGAATTGAAATATAGTTGACTGTCTATGTCTTGTTAAGGCAAGAAAAAAATAGTGTGCACCAGCTTGCTTGACAGGTGCTATGGTGGACTACAGTTGAGCTGACTAATTATCTGGAGTGATATATTGCATGTCTAACATGGAAACAGCTTACTATGCTTGGCAGATGCCAGGTTATGCAGCTTGTTTTGTGGAGAAATCAATAGGACTCTGAGGGAGAATAAGTGCACCAACTAGTAAGACTAGCACAATAAGTTATCCCAGTGCCTCATTAACCAGATTTCACTGTCCTAATTTTTGGAATAAATATTTGTAATGTAAATTTTCATAGCACTGATTTCTCTGGTCAGTTTGAAATTTAGGTGGCTTCAAAATATGTGTTGTTTTATTCTCCCCCATTGCAGCGTAAAACATAGGAAATTGAGTAACTACATGGGAGAAATAATAAAGTTAGTCACATACAAAGTTCTGTCAAATGTAAAAAATTAGTAAAGTGAAAAAGAAATAAGAAGGTAATACTTTTCTTGAACTTGTGGATGTTACCTGTAAGAACAAGTTGATCAAATATTCAGACAAATCTCTGTCTTTTAAGTAGGCTCTGTCCCTTTAACAATACAGTAAAAATTCAGTGTAAATATTTAATTGAACACATTGATCTTTTGTATTAACTTTTGCTGCATATTATTAATGGAAATGATGTGGGGTGAATGTGGGTAGAGAATGAGAGTCCTCTTTCAGTTCAGACTCCCTGGCTAGGGACAGAAATTACACATAAACCAGTAGAAGTGATTGGAAACTAGTTCAAATCAGTAACACAACAGAAGTTCAGTGCACATAAACTGCTTCAAAATGGCTGAAACCAGTTTAAGATAAACCTGGGTGGATGTAGTATCAGACTTAACTAATTTAGGTTAAATCGGTGTATTGAAGTTCTGTCCCAGACCCCCTCCACATTCAAGTTAACTTACAATTGCGCAGCCTCCCAGGATGCTTAGCACCTCCCCCACTACCCGCCCCCTCCCCTTTGCAGGGTGGGTGGACTAGTCTTGGCCCAAGCTGGTCTGCTCCAGCCGAGCGGGGAGGCGTGCTCTAGCATCCCCTGATTTTCTGGCCCGAGCCACTGCAGGCATGTGGCTGCATTTCTGGACTCAAAAGTGAAAGTTTGTTCACTTGCTTATCGGTTCAATCCATGCAGTTTAGACTAACCTGCGGAGATTGAATCGATTCGGGCTCAAGCTTTTTGACTGTCTGTACTTAGCCCCTGTTAGGAACATTGCAGGCTTGATCTGGCTGTGTTTTCAGGCCCTGGTCTGGGACTGTGCTTGAACATGTACAACAGTAAAGCAACAGGATGTTCAGTGCCCAGCAGGATCAAGCTCCAGGTCGGTAGCCTTCATAGCCTCAGACCTGATAATGTAAATGCTTATTATATTCCTTCCAATATAAGGCATGCTTTTTAATACAGAACATTTCTTTAAAAAAAGCTTGAAAAATGTTTATATGCCATTTGTCTTTATGTTGATTGGTTTTATTTTCATTAAATTGAGAATCAGAAATGTTGTGTGTGTGTGTTAAATTGAAGGGTGTCTTGTATTTGAAGGAAGCTGCACATTTGTGCAGCATCGGTCACGTAGCGGAGATAATGGAATGGAAATTGCTTGTGTAATGTGCTGATGTATGTGGTTCACTGTTTGCAGGCTTTTGATTATATCAGGTACTTAAGGACATGGCTAGATCTAATGGAGGAGGGTAGTCCTATTGATGCCAGTCAGGTATCTGTTTAAAGACGTGGCTGAAATAGTGCCCTTAGCTAGATATTACTATTATTAGACCCTGATTCAGGAAATCAGTTAAACATGTACTTAATCATTTTTCCTGAACACAGATGCTTTTCTTGAATTAGGACCTTAGCATGTAGTTGGGAGCTAACGTGCTGAATTGGAATAGGATTATACTGCACCATAGCTTGTTTGAAGATGAAATCTCAGACATAATTGTGCAGAATGTTAGCTGGGTGAAAGGCTTTGCTTCCAAACTAAAGCTCATTTCATAAACGAGGGGAAAAACCTACCTGATTACTTAGTATTGTTGCAGCTCTGCAAGGTGTTACCAAAAGCAAAATCTGTTTTCTCCGGTATAGGGCCAGAATCATTTAGAAAATAACAGCAGTGCTTTTAAATAAAAGGTGGAAAACTTTGGAAAAAAAATTGAAGTTGCAGACATGTTCTTGGAAATCAAGAGTACTTTTAAATTTCCTCACAATCATTTAATGAGCCAGGCATCCAACAACCTGTTTTTCCAAGACAGGAGGCCATGTGCTAGTTACTGCCCATGTTTTTATTGTGGCCTCTTGCCTCCAGTCTCTCTGCCCTAGTTCATGAAGAGCTCATCCATCTCCTCCTCCTTTCCCAATAGCTAGTGTCAACTCTGCCTGAGTATATCATGTCAGAACAGGATTGAACCACGATTTTTTTTTCTTTTCCAGGGCTTCAAACTATGATATTTTTTGGTATACCCACAACCTTTTCTTTGTCTTCTATTTGCTGCTGATAATACATGTTTCTGGGTAAGTAACCAAATAAAACCACCTTTTCTTTAAGCACAGCCAAGCGGGCACTGCTTACAAGGATCTAAGGGTGGGCACTGGAGAGGACTGCCATGTTGATGTCTTTCTATTATGATCAGTCATTCGAATGAAGCTTATGTTGTGCTTGGAGCATTCTGTGGTAGAACAAATGAGAACCAAATAGGGTTTTCAGGATTTTCACAAGTAAAAGCTGAACCTAAGCCCAGTCTCCGTCCATCGATAACTAAAATCTTGTCTAATTCAGTCCCTACATTTGGCCTTTGGGAGTGTGAAGTAAGGTTGTTCTCCTTTCCTTTGTCTCTACTTCTTGTCTGCAGTTCTGCTTACTGTTGAGAGAGAATAATCTTCAAGGCTACGGTCAATAGTTATTTTTCTCTCCTCGGCCATTTTAAACGTGAATTGTACAGGTGCGGAAGACCACACATGGTGCAAGGTTGTAGAGTGTCTCACCAATATAACTATTTTGCCAGATTCTTTGCTGATACTCATGGGCACAACTCCCCTAAAAGTCAGAGCAGCTGCACCCATTTTTATCATAGATAAGGCCTATGTGTGAGACCAAAATTGGGTACAGGGAGGGAGAAGTGTACTTCAGCAAGGGTCATTTTCACATTTCAGCAAATATCTATGAATCTGGGAGTGCAGGGATGTCTGTGAAAATACTGGGCATGCCTACATGTGCCCTCAACTGCACACTTGTTACTACGCAGTCATTTAGTACCTGCTTTAGCAAGTACTGATCCCTTACCTGTTATTCTTATGTCAGTCTAGTAAGATGCAAAAATTATTCATAATTCAGTTATTCATAATTCAGTAACAGCAGTAACTGTGCCAAATTATTCATAATTCAGTAATGTGCAGTAACAGCTGTCACTGTGCAGTCCCAGCAGTGCATGGGTCGTTTCTGACCGTACTGCACCACAGCAATGAGGCGTGATGCCGACGCTACGGTGCAGTAGCTCTTTGCTATAGTGCAGTAGCATCAGCATCACGGCGTGTGCCCGCCAACACTACATCACTGTAGCGATGTAACATCTCATGTAGGTGCGCCCACTGTGTAATACTGTCTGATGCTGAATTATGAATAACCATTGGATCTTACTAGACTGATGTAAGAATAACAGGTAAGTGTTTCAATAGAGCACTCAATCAAATGAAATAAAAGAAGAGTTCAGAGCAATGAAAGGTCCTGTCATTCTTAACAGATTCTGTGTTTTTTGCTAGAACATGTTCTATATTTTTAAGGTTCTTGCCCAACATCTCACTTTGCCATATGAAAGAGCTAACAGGAGAAATCGACCAACCAAGGTTACATTTTGTACTGAATATAAGGTGGGCAGTCCCCTTGGCAGTGCTCTCCTGTTGCAGACTAAATGAGGGAACTGGTGACAATTACTATGAGTGAAAGTAATTAAAAAAGAAAAACCCTAAGGAAATGAGTTTCCTTGTGTTTTATCAGTTATAGTAGCATGGTGTTCCTTGTGACATGTAGGCTCAATATTTTGAAAGATACTTATATTTTTAATTCACAGTTATTATTCTTGCTAGTACTTTCATTGCACCTCTGAGACCTCATCATAGGCCAGGCCAAAAAACCCCAACATTTACAGTCTGAATGTATGTAAGACAGGAGGTAACAGATGGAATCAGCCCAGCAGCATGGCTTGCCACTTTTTTCACGTTCTTAGTAAAAAGCTGAATTCCATTTAAAAACATGTGGGCCGCTTTTAGATGATACCTGAAGTGACTGCTTCCATTCTGCTCTTGTTGAAGTCTTGTGGGAGCTTTGCCATTTAGTTGCAGGGACCAGTCCTCATTTTCATTGTACTTTGTAAAGAGAAGGGATTTGCTTTGATATGTTTACCCATGGTGGCCTAACTTCTTGTCAGGTCATGTTGTAGTTTTGTTAACCATCCAGGTACCATTATGGGTTTGTGTGTGAGATATGAACGATACAGGTGGCAGTGATACGGGAGGGTGAACTTCCAGGGATCATATTCCTTTGTTGTCTCCCCATATTTGGGCACCTTTGTTTAATCATTGCACCTAAGGTAGTGGCAGCTGGAGAAAGGCCATCAGCCAGACCTCAAAGGACCTGAGTTCCCAGGTATCCAGGGAGAGGTTTCTGGGATTTGTGGGTAAATGGCTACTTACAGAGAGCAAGTTTCTTTCCACCACTGGAAAGATGGGGAAGATTGTGGTGACTTAGTATTTGAGCTCATACACATTAGTTTGTCTGTTGTTAATCCAACGATAGAATAAAGTCAATAGCAAACACAAACTGGATGCTTCCAGGACAAATGAAACATTTGGAGCCAGTTCCTCAGCTCTAGTAAATTGCTCCAGAGAAGTCAAAGGAGCTATTTTGATTTACACCATCTGAGTGTTCATCCTGTGTCCCTGATATCTCTAGACAAAAGCTTAGATGACTCCTGAAGGGTGAACAATTCTTAAGATTCTGTCTACAAATTCGTCTTGATCAGAACCAGGAGCACCAAAGAAAAACCACCTGAGGTTAGCAGGAAAAGGAGGAGAGGATAATCGTCAGAGACACAAAATTAAATCAGTTGTCATTACAGTTATTGGTTTGAGTGGGGCTAAATACTAATTAATAAGGATTAAACTCATGCAGTGATTTTTTTGGCATGGGACATTCATGACAGATGCCTTATTGTTGAATAGTGCTGGCAATGTGAAGTTTGGTTTTTATAAACACTGAAATATTTTATTTTAATGGATTATGTCAGATGAAAACTATTTCTGAAATGGTTGTAAAAATTTTGAAAAGATAAAAATCAGATAATTGTCAATACAAATTGGTAATTTCAACTTTTTTTTTAGAAAAGCTTCTGTTTTAAAAAAAAATCCATCTTCTGACAAACACACATTTTCCCAGATTTAACATTAAGCTATTTGCTGTGAGGATCTCCTTTTATTATGTGTTTCTCCAGTGTTTAGAAGAATAGAGTTATAATCTTTTTGAGGTATTAGTTGCTACTATAAAAAAATAATAATAATACTAGCCTGTATAAATAGGCATATCTTCAGCGATTTCTGGTCCGGTGGGGATGATGAAATAAAAAGCTAAATAAATATTGATAACAAGATAGAAAAAATATTAGTTTTCTGTGCTTCCTGTGGATTCACATTAAAATAATAGAAGTTAATGATTAGACAAGGGAAATTCGATCTTTCTTAGGAAGATATATTCCATTTCCTTGCAGATTTTCTCTTAGTATATCGTGCTATTGTTCCAGTTTTTTGCTAATTTTACTTAATGAAAAAATGGAACTTCCAGCTTTAGGAGTCTATTTCATAACTAAGTGTATTGTGCCATTAGGAAAGAGCAATACTGAATAAATGGAAGATTCGGAAATTAATCAATAATATAAGATTGTAGTTAAGTTTAAAACTTTTGAATTCATAGCATATCACTGAAGATGCCAAGATGTCAATGGCACTTCTTTCAAAGAATATTTCCAACCAGGTCTGGTAGTTTTCGATTAATCAATAATACATAAATATTATTTAATTTGTAGATATCCCAAATTGGATAAATTGCCATGTGGGCCATTGACAATGTCACAAAATTATCTTCTTTTGATCCTGAAATCTTAATGAGCAGCCAAATGGTGTTCTTTGGGTTTTCTACCTTTTATTTTGTTAGCGTGTATCTAGTCACTGTTTCTACCATGAGCATATTATGAATGAGCAGGTTGCTTTTTATCAAATAGCAGATTCATTCATGAATTGCAAGGTGAAGTGGAACCACAAGAGGCCTGTACATAACAGCTCACAGTGAATTATTTTCAAATTTTAATTTTAAAATTAAATTTTAAATTCTTGTCCTGGTTCTCCCTGTGACACTTGGCATCTGCTGTGTTTGATTAAGTCGAGGATGCTTGGATCCCATTCCATATATAGGTTTACCCCCTCACTATGATGTTTGACACAGGATAGAGCGATCATTTGGCTGTCAACTCTTTGATGGTTGTCAATCCTTGTGCTCTGCTCTGTCTACTTAAACGGCTTCCATTTGTATAGTATCTGAGCTTCTTATAGTGATTGATGTATTTATTACAATGTATTGTGAGAGAGTACAATGCTCTTATCACCCTTTTACAGATGGGGAACTGAGGCAGACTAAGATCCAAAGCCTTAAAAGTAATTTAGGCACCTGATTGCCATGGAAGTCAATGAGGGAATAAGGTGCTTCAGTTTCTTTGAGATGTCTAAATTCACCCTGAGTCAATTGAATTATAGTCTATCAAGTCTTAAAACTTCTGCACTATCCCTTAGACCATTGTTTTTCAACCTTTTTTGTACCAGGACCCATTTGTAAACATAGATGGCCAATCCTGACCCAATAAAGAGTTTAAGTAGAAAACAGCTCCCCACCCCTGCTGGTGCTCCTCACCCCTGACACCCTAGCCCCCCCACCCCCGCAGTGTGTGGGACAGGGGGTGGGCGTGTGGGGAAGGTGGGTGTGAGACATGGTGGGGCACATACCCCCCAGATTTGTGCACCCACAACAGGAAGGGGGCTGCAGCCTGGCTGGACCTGCATGGACAGGAAGGAGCCACCTCTGCAGCCCAGCAGCCAGGACATAGCGTGGGAGAGCAGAGCAGGGTGGCAGTACTCATTGCTGGAACTCTGGTGCCAGCCACACCATCAGCAGTGCAAGAAAGAGCAGACGGGGTGGGGGTTGCATGGGAGGAGGGATGCCATGCTGCTCTCACCTTCTCTTGCCTCCAGCTGTTTGTGCATCCACCAAGCTGCAGCTCTACTCTGCCAACATGGCCCGGCTGCTGCCTGTAACAGGGGGCCTTCCTGGGGCTGGTCTGCCATTGGCCCGCCCACCTGTTTCTGGGCCAACTGCCTGCCTCACTCGTCTGCCATGCCTTGCTGTTTCTTAATTGGTTCTAATTAGGCGGGAGGCTGTGCATTCTTGCCCCGAATCCAGGGGGCGCTATCTGTGGCTCTGTTTCTCCCCTACACTGCAGCCCAAGCCTCGCAGATGGCATCCAGGTGACACAGTGCTCCTGGCCTACAGTCGGACCAAGCTTAGCCCTCATTGTCAGGTCTCAGATACATGCATTCATACTGCCCTCCTCTCACTAGGGCCTCTCACTCTCCACCCCTTCTCACAGGATCTCTTTCATGCAACTTATACCACCTTGCTCCCTCTTGGAGTGGGCCCCTTTGGCCATAGGCTTTATCTAGCGCACACCTTGGGTGGCAGATATGCCGTCTTTGGGGGCTCTCCCATGACCCTCACTGGGGTAGTGACCAGCCAGTTACCTGACTGGGGCCAAGCTTGCCCTGGCACCTCCCAGGGCATCTCTATACACACTCCCAGGGCAAACTCACACACACACAGTCCTCCGGTTTCCCCCTCACTAGAGCTCCACATCTTCCACCCCATCACTGGGGCTATGGGGCTTCCCTCCCCAGTGAAGGCTTAGGTGGCCGTAGCCGTGGCTGGCTCCGACTTCTACCCACAGTGATGTGGGGGCTAGGGGTTACTGAGGTGCCCCAACCTGCCTTTTACTGGGGTTGTAACTGGTCTGGTATTTTCCTGGAGGCTCCTGTGCTACTGGGAGACCCACCAGGCCACCCACTCCTGGCAGGGTTGAGTTTTAGGTCATGCCCAGGACCAAGAGCCTCCTGCTCCTACCTGCAGATGTTCTCATACAGCAGCTCAACCAGGCAATGTTTCTGCCTGACCTACCAGCAGCAATCTGCTCTGTTTATATAGCATCTCAAAATGGTGCCCAGCAGTGGCCTGCCACACTGCCACTACTTCCCTTAAGCCACAGCTGTACCCTGGAGAGGAGGTGGGGTGGCAGGCACGGTTGCGTGTGCCCCCTGCCCTCTTGACACATCATATGTGCTCCCCTTTTCCTCTGCCCCATCACCTTATAGATTTACCAGCAGGGAGCTGTGGGAGTTGCTCTCCACACTGCGTGGCTGCCATGTGCAATGTTCATTGCCCCCTTCCTGATTGCCCTCTTCCTGCTCCCGCCAGCCCCAAGCAGCCCCTTGAAGGCTGGAACTCTGCCAACCTGCAAGGGGAAACCTGTAGTTTCCTACAAGTTTCTCCTTTAAAGGAGAATCCATTTTTAAAGTGTGTTGATCCATTTTTTAAAGTTTGTTTGCAACCCTTTCATATATTCTTGCGTCCCACTTTTGGGTCATGACCCATGGGTTGAGAAACACTGCCTTAGACCATACTGGCAATATGCCTGGGAAAGCACATTTAGGTGGGGGATATTGTTACCGTTCTGCTTCCATCCACTCCTGTGACTCTGGAACAGCCAGCGGGGCTGGTGTGGGTAGAGCTTTGGTTACTTGTTTGAAGGGGGGAGCTGAGAGCATCCATTGCAGCATTGCCCCCCAGCACTCAGGAGGCATAATGCAATAAACTGACACATCTCACCAAAGATTGCAACACAGGCAGCATACCTCCTTTCCTCCCTGGCAAAGCTGTGCCTCTTAGAAGAAATTATGTGGCCCTTTCTGTTTCTAGCATTTCAGTTTGTGAATTTGTTATAATTGTCATAATTTGAACACAGAATTTTTGAGAGGTAAAGAGGACTCCAGATAAATGAGGAGCTTCATTATTAGCTGAATTGACTCATTTTCCCAATGGTTCATGCACGTTTTGAAAGGTTTTACTGATCATTTAGGGGTTTTTTTCTTTCTAATTTCTAGCTGTGGCTGCAGAAGTATGTGCCTTCATTTTAATAGAAATGCAATTCTGTTGTAATAAACACAGCTAGGTCCTAAAGAATAGTTTGTAATTTGGATCTCTGACTTTGATGGAAGAAGTTTATATTCTCTTCTGAAAGGAAGGTATTCAAAAGCATGATATTTCTTATGTACAGGACTGCCATGTAAAAACATGAGAAAGATTGAGTGATGGGAGCTTTTGCTGCAGTTTATAACTTGGCAGTATTCTTTGGCTGCTGTTGTTAAAGATTGTCTTGTAAAGAGTGCTTGTGTGATGCAGGGAGTAGGACTGAAAATAGCCTTGTTCTGATTGAATTGGAAATGAAGATAAATTAAATAATTACAAGGCTCCCACAATTTCTCTTACCCTCAAGCAATATCAAGCTTTAGGCTGTTCAATGGGGAAGTGCCAAGTGAGCTGGAAAACTTAAACCTCCCTTCCAGTGACAAAAGGATCTATTGTTGCAAAGCTTCAGTCTAAGTCAAACTCCTGGAAGTAAAACTAAATAAAAATGCTTGTGTAAGATCAGCCTTGAGATCGCTTATAAAGTCTTCTGCAAATTAAAGAGAAAAAAAATTGGTTAAATTTGATCACTGCTGTAGTGTCTTTTTTCTTTTCCTGCAGAGGAGTGCTGAAGTACCAGATTAACATACAGCAACACCCTCCTGGATGCTTTAACCCCAACAAAACACTCCAAGAGACTATTCCAGAGCCAAAAGTTTTTGAAGAGTCTTTTCCTGAGTATGCTAGTCAGCCTTTCCCAGAAGGTTTAGCAGAGACAGACTCATTCGTACAAACAAAGTTTGAGAGAATTTGTACCGAGGAACCCAAGTTCCAGTCACACTTCCCAGAGGTCTGTATGATCCGACATTTCAGGTATTACAAGCAATGCCAAGACTTTCAGTCAGCCATAACCACTAATTATTGCTTTTGCAGACCATATGGTTTAATAATGGAAAATATTATTAAAAGTTTTTCAGACATTTGTAGTTTTGGTGGGAAAAAAACAGTCTGTGTTGAAACCTTGGACCACACTCTAGCATGGTGTGCAGCATACATGGGAAAATTACAGGAGCTGAGACATTAACTGAAAGACTTCATTTTTGCCATGTCTCCAGGCATCTACTGGTACTGTTAGATATGTTGCTTCCAATTATCGTACAGAATTTAAGCACAGGCTTATTAATTATTTACCGATATAGATTTGTAGGGGCTTTTTTAGAAGCATTTTGAGACTTCAGCTTAGTTGAAATAATTAAACTCCATTTTATTCTTTTAAGACATGCCTTAAAGACATAACCAGAGAGACAGGAATCTTTTTATACATCTTACATGCAGTTGCTCTTGATTTGGTCATGTTGGCAACCGGGATTCATTCCATTAGATGCCATGCAAAGCTTAACAACGGAGGGTATCATAGACCAGGGGTTAGTAACTTTTAGCTCAGTGGCTGGATTTGGCCCATGAAACAATTGCATCTGGCCCACAGAGCTGGGGCTTCAGTGGTTTATGTCAGTGAGATCTTTGCTCATGTAGGGCTGCACCATTGCTGAGTGGCAGGAAGCTTACACATCCTGCACACAGCTATGTAGCAGAGAGAGGCAGTGATGCGCGGGTCCTGTTCTGGATCATACTGGCCCACCGTGGGGAAATGTTGCCGACTGCTGTTGTAGACTGAGACCATTATCTTGCAACAAACTCTTTGTATGTGCGGTCCTATTTGAAGTCAAAGGGGTCATGTGTGTTTAGGGTTTCACTTGTACAGAGTTCTGTGTTGGATCAGGGCATAATTGGTGGCAAAATGTAATGAGATGCAACAGACAGTAGGAAAATATTGTAAGGGATTAAAAAAAATCAACAGTTCATTGTGGCCATCTGCCTAGGCTTTGTTAGCTGGCAAGTCCTGTAGGTCTTACATGGGTTTGAAGGAGAAGAGGATTGGGTGTTACATGTAAGGAAGGAAACATCCCTTCAGCACAGGTCACCCGTCTACAATGTATAAGCAGATGTACAAGCAATTGAGAGTGCCATTCTTGGCTGAATTGTAAGAGTGATATGGTACATGCAAGACTGAATAAGTGGGGGTATGGACTTATGAAGAATCTTACTGCGTTCACCTTCAAGCTTGAATTTGCTGAAGCAGAGAACAGCAACCCAGGGGTTGGATGCAAAGAGAGAAGTGGTGTGGTCAGAAGGATGGACTGGTAAAGGTGATTTTAGCAGCAGTGGCGTGATGGGACCTGACAGCTAGAAGACAGTGAGAGAAGATGGAGCCTAAGAATGTGCTAGAAGAAGCAGTGGCATTGAAAAACATCTTACAGTGATCATATCTTCAGTATTTTAACAGAGTATTTAATCCCATATGCTAGTCACTGCCTTGATTTTGCAGGCCAAGGATAGGCTCTAGGCTAGTAAAAATATTCGCCACAAAAGTTAGGTGGTAACGTGATTCACTGGGGCCATGTGCCTGAGAGGGTGTATGCTTGGTTAATTTATTCAGGTTTTTCAATTGCTGAGTTGATCATAAAATCACGGACGAGTAGGCTTGGAAGGGACCTTGGAACAGCCCCGTGTTCAATACAGAATCATCCCTGACTAAACCACTCCAGTCAAGTGTGTCTAACCTAGAGTTTAGCCAGCCTAGGCAGAGTTTGTGACCTGGCCATGGGCTGGAAGTATCTTCACTCCCTTCCCTACCCCTGCTTGCACTCACTGCTCTATTATGTCTGCATGTCCCTCACTGCAGATTCCCAGCCTCTCTACAGCAAGGGAAGCACTGATATAGCAGAGCAGCAGGTCCTGCAGTGCAGGGGAGCACTGGGAAGGGCATGGGAGACACAGTGCAGCTCCATGTCACTGGGGCTGGGCCAGGGCTGCACTTGGGATGGGCAGCAGCGGCACTGGGAAGGAGGGCTATTTTGTGGTGTCTGGAGCCCACCCTGTAGCCCCACTCCCAGTGCTGCTGCTGTCTGTCTTGCCCTACCCCCAACTGCCCCAAGCGCAGCCCCGGCTCATCTCCCCTGCTGGAAAGTGGCCAGAGCAGCCCCTGGCCCTGAGTCTGCAGCGGACAACCCACCCTTGCCCTGTGCACAAATCCTGGGAGCCCATGCCCCCCATGCCTCCCTTGGGGGTGTGCACAGTGGTGAGGAGTTGCCCCCCTTCCTGCCCCCCTGCACCCCCTGGACAAGCCGCCAGGGCTCTGTCCTGCGCCCGGCCACACCCCACCACTGAGTGGTGGGGTGTGCGGGTGGCTGCAGCAGGGAGCGCTGGCCACAGGGCAGGTAAGGGACTGCTTTTCCCCGTGCTCCACACCAGTTCCTTCCCTGCCAGTGAGCAGGGGGTCAGGGCTGTGCGCTGCCCCCCGCCTGTACCGTGAAACTGGGGGGCACTGGGAGTGAGTGGGCGTGGGAGCACAGGGCCCACACTGGTGTCCCAGGGCCAGGGCCAGCAGTGCCCAGAGAAGGGCGGCAGGGGTACAGGGTCCCGGCTGGCAGGGGGCGTGCGGGGCCGGGCCAGCTCCTCCCTCTCCCTGCTGGTGCAGCCCAGCCCGGCTCTACAGACCCCTGCCAGCCTGCACCCCGCTCTGGGCCCCCCCAGTGCTGGCCCTGGGACATTGGTGCCAAGACTTGGACATTGGTCCCAAGATGGTGACTGGGGGGGGGGTACCTGTCAAGGGGTGGGGCTACCCATGCGGCCCTCGACAGCTTGCCAAAACTGGGTAAGCGGCTCTCCGCCCGAAATAATTGCCCGCCCCTGAGTTAAGGTCTGTTTGTGTAGGTCCTCCTCAGTATGTGGACTGACAGCACAATCATGGGCATACTTAAGTTCCACAATCAGGCCGAAGTAACTTTAGTTTTGACACGGAGGCAGGAGCGATTGTACAGTTTCCCATCGATCCTGTACTTGATGCCATTGCCATGTGGCAGATGGTTACAGATGAGCATCTTGACCGCAAGAAAGATAGAAAAAAGAATTGGTGCAATCATGCAGCCCTGCTTGATGCTGGTTCTCATGGCAAAGGGCTCTGTAGCAGAGCCACTGCATAGGATAGAAGCAGTCATCTGGTCATGAAGGAGTCTTGGGATACTGATAAATTTTTCTGGTCAGCCAAACTGATAAGATCTTCCTTAGAGCCTTGCAGCTTAAAGGCTCTGGTTAAATTGGGTAAAGGTCATTTATGGTTCCTGGTGCTGTTCTCAGAATTTCTCCTGGATCTGCCGAGCCACAAAAATCATGTTCATGGTGCCTCTTGGAGGTCTGAAGCCACATTGAGATTCGGGAAGGATTTCCTTGGCAAGGGGGAGCGGTCAGTTGAGCAGAATTTGAGCAAGGATCTTTCCAGCGATTGAGATGAGGGCGATACCTTTGATATTTTCCACAGTCAGACTTATCTCCCTTTTTAAAAATGGTGACAACCTTGGCATTCCTTAGGTCAGTGGGAATTTCCTCAGTGTTCCAGATTTTGAAAACAGTGTGTGGAACTTGTTGGTCGTAGTTCCCCCACCAGCACTGAGGACCTCAACTTGTGTGCTATCAGAACCAGATGTTTTGTTGTTCTTCATCTGTCTTATTGCTTGGTGGACTTCTGCAGAGGTTGGTGGACTGGCAAGTGTTCCCTTACTGGATGCTGTAGGATGGTTTCATTGGTCGATTCTCAGTTCAGGAGCTTTTGGTGGTGCTCCTTCCAGCAGCTTTGGATGGACTTGTCTTTGAGGAGTTTACTTCTGGCTTCAGATGGGGTGAGTCTGGAAGGGCTTGGTCTGTACGCAGTCTTGATTGTTCTGAAGAAGCTTCGTGTGTCACAATTGTCAGCAAATAGTTAGGTATCCAGGTTTTACAAATAGTTAGGTATCCAGGTTTTACAATCTTTTCTCGTATGCCTGATGAAGGGTTTGTGCCTGAAAGCTTGCAATTAAAGATTTTTTTCTGCAAAATCTAGTTGGTCTAATAAAAGAGATCACCTCTACCTTGAGTCCTCATTGCTTTCAACAAATAGTTGGATTCGTTTCACCTTCTCTTTCCACTATTTGTTTTTGATTAATTGAATCTTCCTCTAGGCTTCAGCTTTAAGCTGTCAAAAAGTTCCTTGCTTCTGACCAGTAGGATGTTTTGCCAGTCACAGAAGACTTTCCTCTTCTAATTGAAAAGGACTTTGATCTCAGCATTGATTTTGTCAAACCGGTTCTGATGGCATTGGGTAATAAAGCCAATTGATTCTGTGCAAGCTGCATGGGTGGTCTCCTTTAGAGCTTGCCAGTCTTCCTCAATACAACTGTTATCATTTTCAGTCCTAAGATTGGAGAGTTTCTTGCTGAGGTATGTTTGGAGGGCTTCATGATACTTAGGGGTTTGAAGGCATTTGATACTGTCTTTGGAGTGATTTGGGTTACTTTCACTATTTCATCATAACCCTAATGGACATGATTTATCTCTCTCAGTGATGATTGGTCCAGCAGTCATTGGCTTCTCTCATAACATGCGTGATATGAACATCTTTTAGATCGTGTGCTCTTTCAAGGATGTAGTCAAGGAAGTGCCATTGTTTTGAGCAGGGGTGATACCGTGTTGTGTTGTATCTTCATGTTGTCTGAAAATCATGTTGGTAATGACCAGGGATCATCAGTGGTGCGTGAGCAGCTGTGGACCCTTTTGCATAAGCTGATGATGCAAGATGCTTTGGCCATGAAATTAAATCCAGGATAGTGTTGTACACTTTGTGTATTTGGCGTTTTTGGGACTGTAACATGTCCAGTGTTGTCACCAAGCATCCACGTATCTCTGCGATGTACTTCAGGTCAGAGTGCAGGTCTTCTTCTGCTAACAGGTTGGCTAGTTCCTGCATAACAGATGTATCCCTATATTCTGTTCATTCCT